GTAGGTGTAGGACTGCAGCCTAATTTTAGCAATGCAATGAGTTGTCCTGATGCAAGTATTGGATGCTTCACTGAAGCTTAGCCACTGTCATGGGAGGATAAAGATGTCACAGTTCAGTGAAAGTGGCTGCGATAGTGGAAGCAAAGATCTAAGGAATACCTTTGAGCCCAAAACTGCATTGTCAGGGACTCTGGGATCTGAACCAGCCACCTCATGACCCGAGGTTGCAGCTTCATCTAGTGAGTTACGTGAGACTGTGTTCAGGGTTGTGTGCCTCTTCCAGTAAGAATGGAATAACTCATTTATTTTATTCAATTTATGAGTCACCTAAGAAAGAATATAGAATAGGTTGTACATCAACATCAGCAAACTGAAATCTTCCTCCAGTTTCAATTTGGTTTGGGGGTTTATCGGTTGGTTGGTTGGTTGGTTGGTTGGTGGGTGGGTGAGGTTGTTTTTCCATTTACTTTGTTTCTCTTTCCACACTATGTTAACTTGAATGTAAATACTTCTGCAGACTCTTTGCCTGTCTAGCTAGTGACTGCGGGGGGGGGGGGGGGGTATCCTGTTCACAATGTAAAGCCATCAGTTCTATTCATTACTGGAACGTGAGGAGTAGAAGGCTGAGAATCTTAGGCCTGAGCCAATTGACAGAGAGTTAGAAAGTCAGTGTTGTTCATTTTCAGGCTTCCGATAGAAACCACTAGAGACGAGAGCCCTTTTAAAGCATTTGCGTTAAAACAAGCCATAAGTGCTTAAAAAGCTTTCCTCAAGGTAAATGCATCTTGCTGCTGCTTCCATTCTCTGTATAACACACTATTCTTTCTCATGAGGACTCTTTAGGGGTGAGGTCTGGAATTGTTGAAAGGGTGTAGTTTAGTGTTGATATGCTTGCATTGTGTGGTATTGCTAGTGAATAGTAACGCATGTCAATCCCAGGTCTTGCTTCCATTAGCTCTGGGTCTTGAGAGGTAAGAAGTAATGGGTTTTCCCTGTCTGCCTTTCAGGACTTCATAAAGCTGATCACAGGCAATTAATACAAAGCTTTCTTAGATTCTGCCCCTTGATAGTGGCTTTCACCTGAGGACAGAATGCCATCTGCTTTAAGCAGGGTCAGACATGTGCGTAGGGCAGAGGGCAGTAGCAGTCGGGGGATAAGGCAGTGTGGGGTTGCACTCCTTACCTGGCTTCCCAGCCCCAGGCAGGCTGCCAGTTACTGAGGAGGAGAGAAGGTCAGGTGCAGGTGTAGGGTGGAACCAAGCCAGTGCCTCCTGCCACCGAGTTTGCACTGTGCCAACCTCCCTCTCCCTTATGGTAACCAGCAGCAACCTTAGTGTTGGGAGTCAGTTAAGCAGCACAGCCCCACAGACCACTACTGGCAGAAGGTGAGTTCATTGATGCCCACATCAATTGATGTACATTAAGAAAAACAGCAATGGTTTACTCAACAATCTTTTAGTTCCAACAGTGTTCACCATACCTCCTGGCCACAGGTTTTGGAGAAACAAAGGGAAGAGTGGTAGAGCAGGTCCATTAGATGCAAATGGTCCCTGGTTCAGTTCTTGTACTTCTTATATGCCAAAATGACTTCTAAGCGCATATAACAATAAAATCAATTATAAAATTCATACGTAATTAAAACACACAATATTTCTCCCAGAGCATTAAAGCATCCTTAATTAAAATGTACAATAAAACAAGGCAGCTGAAAAGCATGAGAAAGCAGTTAAAAATAGTTGAAACAGTAAGATGAGAAGTTCAAGTTCGGGGAATTGCTTGCTTAAACAGGTGTATCTCCAGGAGCCAGCAGAATGCCAGTACTGATGGGATTTAGCTTCAGTTTGTTGACCCTCATCCACTCCACCATTGCATCCAGGCACCAGTTCATTTTATGCACAGCCTGCCTGACTCAGATCTAACAGAAAAGTAGAACTTAGAGTCATCAGCAGATTGTGTCCCAAACCTCCTCATGATTGCTCCCCATAGCTTCATATGGATGTTGAATAGCACTGGAGTTAAATAGCATGTAGGGCCAGGAAAACAATCCTGTCTGAAACCCAGAAGAGCCACTGCTAGTCAGTGTCAGCAATTCTGTAGAGATGGTAGACAATACTGACTTGGTAGAAGGCGGCTTTCTTTGCATTCAATAACTAGTAAACCATTTCCAAAATACTGTCCTTGGTTTATCATCTTCATAAACATACTTTGTGACTGAGCATCTTCTGTAGCTTCACATCCACAGAGGACATGGAGAGTAGTACTGTATAGATTCATGCTTATTTGGGCTTCTCCAAAGGAGCAAGATGTGTAAGCAACTGAATTTGTTGCTGCAGGTCATTACTGGCCTGTGCTTTCATTGCAAAGCTTCTTAAGTGCAATATCTTGCCTGCTTTGAGAACATTGCGTCTTTTTTACATAATTTATTTGGGGGGTGGGCATAGAGGGTATTTTTGCAAACATGGAATCTTCTTTATGCTTTTTTTTTTAAAAAATCACATATGGTGAAATAGATGCTCTTGTGACATAACCCATTCACTCCAACTTCCTGCCATTGAATGGCTTCTCACAAGAGCAAGGGAAATCCTGTGACCACAGTTGATAAAGAGGCCAATCAATAACACCAGTCAGCTTTCTTGGACTTGCAGTTTATAAGATTTCTCTTTTAAAAGCCCAGGTGGGCTCAGTTTTAAGCTTACCCTATCATTTTTTCCATCTTCCATCTGTTCTTACAGATATAAGAAGTATTTTATGATAACCATCCAGGCATGCAGAGCCTTTATACTGCCTTTAACTGCAGTACTGAACAAAGAAGATGGTGGTGCTTCAGCGAACTCAGCATGCTAGACACAGAAAGTCAAACAGAGTCCTGCAGCACTCCTCCATTTCCCCAATCCACTTTTTACAGCACTGAAAAAGAAGCACTAAGCATCAATGGTCTTTTTAAATACACCCCTCCAAGCCATAGCCATCCTTACAGGGAACTTCCATTTGACAATTTGCTTTGGATTTGGTGTCACATATAGTATGTATACAGGTTTTGCACTTCAAATCACACTGATGGTCCATGACAGCAGATACTTCCATGCAACAGTTTGCAATGGATTTGAGCTTTGTGCAGCATCCACATGACATCACCCTCATCAAAATACTGTTCCATATCCCCCCCCCATTTAATTCCTATTTACCAATTTATCTCCATGTTACTTGGCATACTTTCTATGAAAAGGGTGAATCCTGAATTAAATGGTAAAATAATATGGGATACCATTTTGAGGAGGACAATGTCATGTTGGAAACCATGCAGGAGTAGTTCCAAGTCCAAAAGAAACTGTTGTGTGGAAGCATCTTCCACTGACCCATCATCGCGGTTTGGTGCCACCTGAAACTGTCACTATCCCTAATAAAAATCTTCCTCTGTCAATTTTTTCCAGGTTGCTTTATATATGATGAGCGCAGATAATCATTGTGGTCCATTGGGGGGGCAATTTCTCCCCCTCCCAGTACGTAGCAGCTGCATGCAGTGTTAAGAAGCTGGGAGAGCAAGGCAGGTCCACCCAGCTGCCACTAAACAATACTTTTATTGGGACCAAGCAAAATGTCACAAAATAGTGGAGGTCTCCATAATTGCTCCTCAGGCAAGCAGGGAGTGGGAAAATGAAGAAAAATAAAGCGGGGGGGGGGGGATACAAAAATTAGTCTGGATGCTGCAGCCATAAGATCAACTTTTACCCTCAGTTACAAGATGGGTATTGCAAACTGAATAAAGCTCAAATTACCCACCTGGTATTCCAGCATAAAGAAGCAATGGCTGCTCCAGTTATGAAACCAAAGCCACATTGTTACTCAGATCTGCTCTATGCCTTAAGTGAAACATAGGTCCCTGGTTAGGCAGAGAGCAAAAAATTTTATTTATTTACTTATTTCATAAGATTGATACACTGCTTGATTGTAAACAAAAAATAAAAAAACCCTAAAACCTCAAAGTGGTGTACAAAAAAACCCACGCTCTGTAACATCAGGAAAAAATACAAGAGTTAAAATACTAAAACAGATTAAAATTCACACCAGCCTTTCTAAGCATCTGGGTAGTACCAACTGTTGTTGTTTTTAATAAAAGCTGTATTTTTCAAAACTTCTAGCTTTTACTATATTTCATGTGGGTTGTTGTTTTTTTTTTTTAAAGGGAGAATAGCCATGACGTCTTCTTTGTCCCAGCACCCCTGGGTGCATCCTGCAATCTGTCTTGCACCTAGCGATGCTAATCCAATTATGTCTGCACAACTTCCTCTGTGTTCCATTTTTAAGACTGTTTATATAAACGACAAAGCTTCAAGCAAACGACACCTTGCCCAGCTTTTTCTTCCCCGCTCCGTTCCCTCGTTTATTTCCAGAGAACTCGAAAGCTTCCTCAGGATTGGGATGTTTCGGTTCGTTCTAATAAAGACATTATCATACCATGACTTTGAGGGGTGTGAGGTTTTTTTTAGTGAAAGCTGGCTCTCAGGCAGCAGAATTTAACATTTAAGGACACAAGCCTTTACGGAAGGTCAATTCCATTCATACACTAACTGGGCGGGGGGGTGGATTGCCGGCTGGGCCCACTCCAACTTTCCAAACCCCACTAGCCTTTCCCCCTTGATGCCCATTTATGTGGTGATGTGACTGAAAACAGAAGCCTGCACACATACGCACATCTGTCCACAAAGAGGCTCCCCTTTTTGGACACTTTGTAGCTGTCAGGACAGAAACACCACACTCTTGCTTCATGGGCAAAAGCAACCATAGTAGTCTTTCCCCCCCTCTAAAGGTGGAAGCAACCTTCTGAATATGGCTATATCATACATATCTTTTTGTATTTGAATGAATGGATTTCATTTACCTTAGTGAAAAGAAAAATGCACCAGGTATTATTTTTACAGTTTAGCTTATCATATTCCCAGCTGGGTTTATGATTCACAGACAGAACTGTTAATCTCTAATCCTCATCTCTAACCTTGTTGCTCTGATTGGAGAATCATGATGTGCAGCCAACTCCTAAGCAGGGAGGTTGAGCAGAGTTAAATGCCATATTTCTTTCTTCAGCAATGTAAAATACCTTCGGAGCTACTGCGGATGATCTGTCAATATAAGAGTAGGTTTCTTGTTTTAAAAAATCCATCAAAATAATGGCTGCTCTTTCCTTTTTCTATTTCACATTTTGAGAGGGTTTGAGTGGCACCTCTGGGACAAGTTATAAGCTCTTCTTATGGAAGAGCATTTGTATTCCAGGGATGCCCTCTACTTGGACACAGAACAGCATCACAATAATAGTGGTGTGTCAAAATACGGCCAGCCCAAAATTAGGGGGAGCAGTGTTATTTTGCAAACATTGCCAATGGAAATGCACATTCAGAACTGTAAAATTAATGCAGAGCAACAGAATATCATCCAGGTGAGGAGATAACCCATCTGTGATGCATTACATTTAATGGGATGTTCCTTTGGCTGTGTATTTGGATGTGACAGGGGGCCACAGGTGGTTCCAGTTCTGCTGGGCAGCACAAGGAGGAAATGAGGTTGCCTCTTTACCGCCACTCATTCAGAATATGGAAAATGGAAGTGGCTTTGTCTGTCCACAATGATGCTGCCGCATTTGAATGTGGTTTGTGATGTCATGTGATTCCTGATGAGCTAGGATAACCTTGTGAAACTCAGGACAGACAGAAAAGTACTTCTTCACATGGTGCATAGCTAAAATATGGAATTTGCCACCACGGTGATTTGTCACCAACATGGATGGCTTTAAAAGGGGGAATTAGACAAATGACAAGGCCATCAATGGCTACTGGTCATGATTTCTGTGTACCAACTTCAGTATAAACACCAGTTGCTGAAGAACACAGGTAGAGTGAGTGCTTTTGCGCTCATGTCCTGCTGGAGGGCTTCTTGTGGACATCTGGTTGGCCACTGTGAGTATGGAGTGCCTTTAGTGTGATCCAGCAGGGCTCTTCTTAAGTTCTTAAGACCTTTTGGGTTAAATACAATTGTGTCAAAGCATCAGAAAATCAGGGAAACAAGAGCTGTAAATAGACACAAAAACGAATAAAAGAGTGGAAGATAGGGGGTTTACCACCAGCATGACCATAAAATGGCTACTTTTTCATTGAAATACAAACCTCATGAAAATGCAACTATAGTTTAAGGTAAAGTGGCAACATCATAGAAACTTGCCAGTGACATTCCAACTGAAACATCCATGGATTCCAAAAAGATACTCCAGAATGGAAAATTGTAAACTGAAACACATTCATGATTTTTTGTTTGTTTGTTTGTTTGTTTGTTTGTTTGTTTGTTTGCATATCTGTCAGCTATTCAAGAGACTACCCAAAATTTGGCTCTGATGGTTACAAAGAAAATGCAAAGACCCTAAAAATAAATACATAAGTTATTTTCTGAACTGAAATACGATGATGTAAAATCACCACTAGCTTATGATGTCACATTTCAATTCCATCACAAGTGAACCCATATTCACCCTATCATTTGTACCGACTCCATGCCGTCCTGAAAAAACTCCCACACAGTGTGTGTGTGTGTGTGTGTGTGTGTGCCCTGAATGTTGCTCTCTTTTTTGTTCACTTGTTTGTTTTATTACTATTTGTTGTTCTTTTCCCCCTGCCTGCTGTGCACTGCTCCAAAACTGGGACAAGAGTTCCACAGCCCCACTGGCAGTGTGCATCATTAAAAATATATAGTCTGTGTATTTAAACCAGGGGAAAGGATGGCTTCTGGCAATATTAGTGGCCTGGTTTCAGTTCTCTAAATGAATAAAAGCAACCATGAGAAAAACCTATGCTCTCCTTTGTCAGCATCAGGACAGGAGACTCCAGTAAATATGGGAATGATCTGGTCTTGTATCTTAAGCAGCACCTTTGCACAGGGATCTAATTCTCTCCTACATATCCAGCTTTTTTTCCCCAGCTCTTGCCATGTGTCTTCACATTCTTGTATCAGGGCCTTTCCTCACACACAGTGGATTGCCTTTGCAAAGTCATGAAGGGACCTTTGCAGTCTAAGATGGCCACTTACACAACAGCATGAATTTTGCATACGCTAATCCCTATGTGTAGAAGCACATTTTTAAATGATTATAATTTAAGTAGAAGTTATTGTAATTATTAATTATTAAATTCCTATGCCGCCCTTCATCCAAGGATCACAGGTCAGAAATGCTGTATATCTCTCTATGGTGGGGAAGATTTTTTGTGCCGGTTATCACAAGGCAAACTGTTGATGGGCTCCTGCTCTCCCTTCCTAGGCTTCTTTCCTTCTCTCTAAACTCTTGGACCAGTCAGCCTTTCAAATACAGGCTGCCTCAAAACAGGGATCACATCCACTCTGAAACAGTAGGACACATGGACATCCTCCTTTGGATTTTCTGCAGCATGGCTCCCTCTTGGGCTAATGTCAGGAAAGCCCTTGAGAGGATACTGCACTATAGCTTCTTCCCAGACAAGCATTGCCCTTGTGTCTAAGAGGGTTGGTACTGAACGGGGCCCAGGAAGGAGCCCTCAGTCATGCTCTTGCCACATAATTTTTAGGGTGAGAATCCCTCTAAAAAGTAAACACTCAATTCCCACAAAAGTTCAAGAAAATATGTATTTCTGCAGTTGGGAGATGTTTGCCTTTCAGCTCTACCTTCTTAGTTCATTCCCCCCCCCCCTTTCCTTATTCAGTTAAAGCAGGTGAAAAATCAGCTTTTAAAAGGATGGCTTTACTCTTCCTAACAGTTTCAAGTTAAACAGCTCTTCCTTCCCTTATCAGGAACCACCACAAGGTCATTCTGGCAGCTGCTGTTAAGGATTTTGTCTGGCTTTTCCCTCCCTGCATTTCCATTCTGGGGAGGGGGGGGGTGACGAGAGAGAGAGTTTCAACTATGGAATTTGTCGTTGTTTTACAGCTATCAAAAACACTGGATCGCTTAGTAAAAAACAAAACAAAAAACAAAACTGATCTGATCTGACATCCCGAGTAAAGAGGCTTATTAATCCTGACCATTTTAAACAATGGTTAGGGAAAATCATAGTCTAGCCTCGTTACATTACATTTAAGCATGCTAAATATGCCCTCCAGTTTCCCTATGGTGAGGCTTAAACAAAGTGCATCATATTTGACTCTTAGGATGTTGTGTTTCATTTGTTTTTTAATCTAGGAAAATCACTGAGAACTGCACTACATATATTAAGTAACCTCTTCAGTTTATGTACCAAAGTTTAATTTGTGGGCTGTAATTCACAAGGATTTCTCCCTGGTTTAAATGAAGACCTGAATAAACAGACAATGCATCATGATGATTTTTAAGAGTCGTTTTTAGAAAAAGCAGAGCTGGGGTTTGTGTGGAATAATTGCACCATAAACATGTTATTGGCTCTTTAATAAGTGCATATTTGGATCAGGCAATAAATATTTTTTATAGCGTCAAGGAAGGCAACATTAGAGCAAGGTGATAAAATTCATTATATGTTAAGAGAGAGGTTGAGATTGGCTAAGAACTGAGCAAATTGTGTCTAAATCATACGTTTACCCAGGACATGTCTAAGGACATAGGATGCAGTCACTTTGTTTAAGTTAAAGCGGGTTATGGTCTAGATGAATGACCACCTGGAAACCTCATGTATGCTGAAACATTAGAACAGCACTGCTGGGTCATACTAAAGAATTATCTAGTTCAGCTTCCTTTTCTCACAATGGCTAACCAGAAGCCAATGGGAAGCCCAACCATAGGACTTGAATGAACCATGGCTCACCCCACATGGGATTCACAGCAACTGGTACTGAGAAACATTCTTCCTCCAACAATGGAAGGAGAACATGGAAAATAATATGCTATTTATATCTATCGCTAATAAATAATCTAAGGAGTCGTCACAGCCTTGTTCAAGTGAATCTTCCACTTCCTATCTCACGAAGAAATTGTTCCAATCTCCAATTTATTACCTTCTCGCTTTTAGCCACAAGATTAGAGAATGCTCCAAAAGCAAATTATAGGTATTGACTTGTTTTCTTACATTTATATCCCATCGTTCTTTCATCATGGAACCCAAGGTGCCATGCATGTTGTTCTCAGGGGGTTTCCCTGCCCATACCCAAACCTACTCAGCTTCAGCAAAGTGGTGGGCAATATGGCAATTTTGGTTTTTCTCAGTTTTTTCATCACATTACAAAGAAATGCAGAGAATAGGAAACACAAACTGCTCCAGTTTCTTGTTTTCTGCACATTCAAGTAACCTTTGAAGTCGCTATTGCTTCCATGAACTCTGATGCAGAAGAATCACAAAAAAATCAACCAAAGAAGAGCATAACAATAAAAATAATAATAAATATACAACAGCTATAATAATTAGCAATCTATTATTATTATTATTATTATTATTATTATTATTATTCATTCATTCATTCATTCATTCCACACAGATGTCCTCAAAGTGGCTCACAGTTAAGGCACAGCAATAGAAGATTGCTAATTTCATGAGTGGGACCTTGCCTAGCGTAGCCCTAACTATTGCCCTCAAACTATCAGCTATTGACCTTGTGTGTTATCTTTCCTTTACAAAAGTTGACCCTGTTTCTCGAAAAAGATTGAACCAAAACACTGCATTTGACTCCAGTCACATATATTCACATGATGAAGGCTGAATCCAAGGTTTGTTGCCATTCTTCCGCTTCCACTTGGAATCGCCTACGCTTAACACCTGTCACAAGTGACGTTAAAGCTGGTTACTCACAGGCTGCTTTGCAGAATGGAAGAATGACCAAGAGCCTTCTGGTCTTCAGGGGAGGGGTGACAGTTTGGCCATGGCCCGTAAAATGGCATATCACAGCCAAGAAGCATTTCCTTCTCTGCTTTCTGGGGATGCAATAGCACTGCCAGTCATAAAATTAACATTAACCATCCACAAAGTGACTCCTGCCATTTTTATCACTGTAGACTACATGTTAATGAAGCAAAATACATTTTAATTTTTTTTCAAAAAAGAAAATAAATCAATTAGGCTCAACACAGCACATTGTGGTTATGGTCAGAAAAATATTCAGCGGTGGTTTATACCAGCCTCACTTGCTGGATGACTCTTGACATCAGTTCCTGCTTCTGAGATTCAACTGTTTCTTACTTAGCCCAAACAAGGAACCAAAACCATCCCTTAAAATGAAGCTGTGGGAGAGAGAAAGATTTTAGGTTTGGTTGGAAGGCAGCATTTAAAGATTCGAGGCAACCAGGCCAGGGAAGTTTCCCTCAAAACTCAGCTATGAGGCTGAAAAGTAAGCCAGGAAGGAGAAGAACCCCTTTTATTCTGTTTAAGCCAAGAGTCCTTCACTCCCTACAAGGAGTTTCATTTTTCTCCATTTCTCATTTTTACATTTTTACATTCAAATCTCCACATTTTGCAGTGAACTTCATTTTTTTTAAAAAAAATCCTCTTGAAAATTTATCGGCATTTTAGTGCAACTTTCTCCTTACACACACATTTTTCTATGCAGCTTTGACTAATGTACTCATTTCTACAAGCAATTTCCCCCAATATAATGTAT